AGAGAGAGAGAGTGTGCGTGTGTGTGTGTGTGAGAGTGTGTGAGTGTGTGAGTGTGAGTACGTGTGAGTGTGAGTACGTGTGTGTGTGTGTGTGTGTGTGTGAGTGTGAGTACATGTGAATATATGTGTGTGTGTGAGTGAACATTGTGTGGTTTTGTATTAAATAATGACCTAGATCGTTAAATACTTTTATTAGCCTTAGAGTAAGGGAAGCACAACTCTGGAAATGAGAGCATCCGAGGAGCATGTGAATGCTATGTATATTTATTTAAAATATGTTTAATGTTCATTAATGTTATCCATCGTTTTTGTGTGGCTCTTTTTTTAAAGTATCGGTTCAGGCACCGTTTAGGCACCGGTACCGTTTTAAAAGTATCGATTTGGCACCGGTATCGTAAAAAACCCAATCGATACCCAACCCTACTTGTTACCTGAGGAGTCTGAAATAGTTTACCAGCAAGTCAGCTGGATATATATTTTTGTATGATCTGCATATGCCATAATTGTTGATTTTAATAAGTTCTAATATAAACTAGAGCTTGTTTGTCAGTGTTGTCAAGCAGCAGGCAGCTTTACTCATGTGTCTGAAAGCATGATGCTGATGAAGACAAACAGCACCAGCAATCACAGAATCACAACTTCACGCTTCAGTTTACGGACAAGCTCTCGCTAGTAACTAGAGGCTTATTAGCATGTGTATTACTAGCATATTGGCTGTTTACTAGTACTTATAAAGCACATATTAATTAATGCCTTATTCTGCATGATTATATTTTAGATCCCATTATCCACTCCATAACTAAACTTAACAACAACCTTACTAACTATTAATGGGACGTTGGCTTTCAGTGTTATCAGGCTAAAGTTAGCATTTTCCAAGATCTCCTACTGCACCTTTAACGTTCATCTGGGAAAACTCGCTTGATTTGTAATGTAAATCATTTAAACCTATGCAGACACAGGAGAATACATCAACATTTCTAAATATGCGATTTATTGTACATCGCGATTTCAAAATAAAAGTTTCTGACTTTGCAATTATTTCTTTTGAACAAAACAATTTCAGAAATGTCATGTTTTAGATTGTAGGTCATTTTGTACCCTGCCAAGGACAAAGCTAACCAGCAAAACTTGATATCAGAAGCATCCTAAATGTTACATGTGTTTGCACCATATTGTAGTGAGTAAACATTCTTGGTATTGCTGTTTCAAATATCCCACCATAATCTGTAGTCTGAGCTTGTCAATGGCAATGGCAGATACATTACTGGTTAGTTTCAAAATCATTTTCTTTTTTTGTTTGCCAAATAACCCTGTGTATGTGTCTGCCCCCGCAACCCCTGGAAAAAAGTTTTTTTTTGGGGGGATTTTTTTTAGGATTTTTTTTTGCTTTAACCCCTGTAATAGTTAAACATATAGTTTTACAAATCTGTATAACGATTTGGATATTATAAAGTATGCCTGTCTGTAATTTGCAATGGTTTGAAATGTGATTTAAGGCCCATTAAAAAGCTTGATTTGAAAAGACATTGTTTAGTGCAAATGTTTATAACTGTGATTGCAGAATGTATAATAAATACACATAAACTAAAAAGACAAGTGTTGCATCACTCAGGTTGTTTTAATTTAGTTAACGGAGTAATTAATATTAAATCAGTGCACTAAATTAAATAATATATATTAGCTTGTGAATACCTGCAGCTGCAGTGATAGAGACTACAAATACTATTTTAAGAGTAATTATACCATTAATTACTGAGTAATATTAATTAACATGTAACTACCGTACTGTCAGGATTAGGCTCTGTTTTAGTTGTTGAGTGTAATTATGCATAGTTTACTGTTAATACTATAGTAGGTGCATGTAAAGTGTGAGAAGGACATTATAAAATCAAGTGTTAGCAGGTGAAAATTAACAAGCAAACTATTCAATTTCTGTTTATTTTCAGATGATTCAGTCAGCACTCACATAAAACCTTTATTAAAATATCAACAGTTAAATGTGCTGGTAATTTTACCTGTCATAATTTAGAAATAAAACCATATACAATCTTCCTTTTTCTTTTCCTCTCAGCTTTTAATTCTTATCTTCTAGGAGCAATCTAAGAGTGTTGTTTGTCTTTGTTTTATATTTCTTTAAATGTGAGATCTGTGGTAAGAGCGTCTGGAGAGCAGTCTCTGTGCATCTCCTCACACGGGCTACAGAGCTCGTCTCAATGCTGTGATGAGGGACCGCTCTGCGTGTGAAACAAGAATTACTCTGTCGGGGAAACCGTGAAAGGTGACGGTTGCTGTGAGAAACTGTTTAGTGTGGATTATATTTACAGTATATCTACTCATCTATGGAGATAGAATCGTTGCTTAATTCCAAATAAATAGATTATGATCCACTAATAAATGTAAAGAGATTAACAAACATTAAACACATTGACAAATAAATAGAATGAGATCCACAAATAAATCTTAAAGTTTCACAAACATGAATTAAATTCACAAATAAATAAAATGAGATTTGCAAATAAAAAACATATTCACAAATATATATTTATGTCACAACCACAACTTTGCCTGGCGTTTATTTGTGAATAGCGTCCTGTGCATTTGTGAAATGTGAAACATTTCTTGCGTCAAGACGTGCCTTATTCCGACAATCCACAACTACGTGACTCCACCCACCGTCTACTCAAGCCAATCAGATAACAGCCTCACTTCGCTGACCAATCGTAGCACGATCTCGCTATAGCCAATCACGTTTTGCGTTACAATCAGGGCGGTCTCGTCCTGAGATAACTTCATTCATCTGCTTTAGCTCAAACAGGTAATATAAGGGCCATAACATGGGTACAGTAAAAGATGTTTAAAACTGGATTTCGTTAGACCATTAGACTGTGTATCATGCCAACCAAGCCACAGTATTATACGTTACGTCACGTGCCTTTGAAAAGGCCAGAGAAACAGCTTTAAATCACAGCTATGGGAACAACGCTACACTGGATTCAAACGCGTTATGGAAGCGTCATGTTATTCAATATGGAAATAAAAGCGTCAATAATAACTGACTAATAAATAACTGAACTCAACCTCATAATGAACATTTGTTTGTGTAATAGGTTAAATTGCCGCCACACAACAGGCAACAGCATGTCCCAGTTTCTCAGTCAAGCCGATGTATATGAGCTGCTGTGTGGATCTAACCATGTATGAAGTTTTTGATATTCTGTGGTGCTCAGTTCACAGCAGTGATAGAAATTAATCTACCAATAAGCTTAAATATATATATTTACCTTTTATGAGCATTTTTACATTTATAAAGCCATTTTTTCTTAAAGTGTGCATCATCTTTTTGAGTCAAATTCTTGCATATAATTTGTCAATTAGAATAATGAGACATTTGGGCTGTTACCAAACAAATGGTATAAATATAATAACGAAATTAATCTTTGCAGTGCAGAGGAAACACAGAAGCTGCATCTGAAGAGGCATTTAGATGTCACACTGTTTAATGCAGCTCTGAGGGACATGGGATGCTTTAACCTGCAGTTACAAATGCATAGATAATGTTTTGATATTTTAAACAAAAAATGTTGAATACTGACAATGTCGAATACAGCGAAATGTGGCTGTTATCTGATTGGTTTGAGTAGATGGTGGCATTTGGGCTGTTACCAAGCAAATGGTATAAATATAATAACGAAATTAATCTTTGCAGTGCAGAGGAAACACAGAAGCTGCATCTGAAGAGGCATTTAGATGTCACACTGTTTAATGCAGCTCTGAGGGACATGGGATGCTTTAACCTGCAGTTACAAATGCATAGATAATGTTTTGATATTTTAAACAAAAAATGTTGAATACTGACAATGTCGAATACAGCGAAATGTGGCTGTTATCTGATTGGTTTGAGTAGATGGTGGGTGGAGTCACGTAGTTGTGGATTGTCAGCACGTCTTGACCAAGCGGCAACCTCCCGCTCTCTCTCGTGAAACCAACACGGAAGTGACAAAAGTGTAATTCATCGACTGGCCGCTAGAGGCTGGCTGCAAAAGGGAGTCAGTCCCATAGACTCCCCATGTTATGCCCAACTTTACATCAGAAAAAAACGTTTACAGCCTGGTTCAAAAAATGATTTTGGTCTATATAGCTAATTTTGCCCTTCGTGATAACTGTGAGGGAGTGAATGTTTTTACAACTCATCCGTTTAAATTATATTAAGCCTTAAATTTCTGCATAATTAAGGGCGTGGCCACTTGAGTGACAGGTGGATTGCCGCTGCTGTCACCACCATCGAGCTAGGTGGGCGTGGCTTCAGCAACCTGCTCCCGCCTCTTTGCCCATTTTCGATTATCCGGGAGTGACGCGCTGCCAAGATGGCGACGGCCGGCTCCGCCCACTTTTATTAGTGGATCATAATCTATTTATTTGGAATTAAGCAACGATTCTATCTCCGTATCCATCGAAGGTTCTCTTTAACAGCGTGTTTGTGGGACATTGATCAGTCGCCAGAGATGAACACTCGTATCACAACCAACACCGTGCAGAGACTGTAAATATCAGATTCCCGGCAGTGCAGAGAGAAGGGGTATAAGTCCTCTGTGATCGTTTAAATATCACTTCTTTTTCAACTTACTACAGGTTTCTCAAATGTGAACGTGATTTCTGAGTTGTGAAGCTGTGAAAGCCACTAGAAGCTTCAGGCAGCTGTGTGCTGCTCTTCTGTCTGAACACATGCACTCAAACTGATCTGCGCTTGTCTGCTCACAGGTGAGAAGAGGTTCTCGTGCTCCGAGTGTCCCAAACGCTTCATGCGCAGCGACCACCTGTCCAAGCACATCAAGACGCACCGGAGTAAGACAGCATGTGCTGGTGTGAGCACGGATCAGCAGCCTCCAGTACCTGCCGGCAGCATCAGAGTCCTGCACAGCGGCGTTTGAGTGAGTGCACTGCAGTTAAACCAGCTTTCACAGCTCGTCCTCCAGCCTGCCTGTTTCTGCACCTCTTCATGTCTATTCTGAATCTCTCCGCTTTCTTTTGCCCTCTTTACTGAGACTGTGATGAGCTCACCCAAACATCTCGACCTCAAGACATGAGAAATATATGTGTGAGCGATTTCAGAAACTGTTTCAGAGACGAGCCATAATGCTTTCATCTATTAATCACAGTAAATGAGATGTGATGCTTTTTGTACACAAGTTATATTTTTTGTAAGTATGGAAAACTGCAAATTCTGAAATGACCTTTGTTTTGTGAATGTATGAATTATGCAGTCAACATTTATATATTACGTCGATCTTCTGTAACATATTTAGTATTGCTTTAGTACTCTGTCTTGATGTACGCAACACATTTCAGTTCCAGTAAACGCGTGCGGTCGCGTAATGCTAACTGTCCCAGGTTTGCTGGTCACTGTGGTCTTAATGTTTGGTTTAGAGGGAAAATGTTCACCGGTTCACAGATGCCTTAAAGCCTTTATTTAGACAGGACTCTTTTATGAACTCGAGTTCAAACCAAAGCTTTCCTTTACATGTTAACTCAGGTGTTAAGCGTTCATGATTAAATTAAGATGATGTTCAGAAAGACTCCCAGTGGTTTTTTGTTTTCTTCGTCTTCATGTTCATGAACCTGTGCCGCTACATGCTGTACATCTCTTATTCTTCACACCGGTAGCATGCACATTGCTCAAAAGCATGCATTCAGGCCAGATCTTGCAGTATAACTACTCTTACTAGCTCTCAAATGTGGGTTTTCACCTTGACTTTTGGAAGAACATTTGCATCAAACCTGCTGACTGTGCAAACTTGTGCATTTGAACAGCCAGTGCGGTCCAGTTCACAAGCAGATGCGTGTTGGGACGCAGTTCTTCTGCATGATGGAAGTGCTGTGTTTGGGTTGGTGTTGCTGAAGCTCTAACAGTGGAGAGAGAATGAACCTGACAGAAGAGCATGGCTTTGATTCTCAGAAGAACTGCCTAATGTTGTCTTCTAAACAGTGTGTACATTAAAACATGGATGCATCTGCAAAAGTGATTATTACTGAATGCCAACAATATTCCGGTCTGATACAGTCTGCAGCAATTATTATTGTTTCAGACTTCCACAAGGCTTTTGATACTATATTATTATATTAATATGTTAATCTAAAAATGCATTTATTTAAAAGAATTGCCTTTTTTCTTGTGGTGGCACTGTTTTCTGTAATGTGTGTGCTTGTTCAGCTTTCACAGGTGAGAAGGCAATGATGGCGTCACATCCAGCTCTTCTGAGACGTCTGCACTGCTATGAGCTGCCATGAGCTGCCATGCTGTGTGCGCCGTGCTCATGAAGGCTGGAATCCTAGAACCAGAACTACGTTTCCCAGAACCCTTAGTGCTATCAGTTCCTCTGAGGAGCTTTATTGTCTTACCTTTACCGGTGTACTGCTGATTGTTTTCCTCGTTTGTGATTGCTTGAGCGCCCTGCTCTGGATTGCCTTGACTTTGTTGTATTGAGTCTTTGTTACAGTAGTGAAGTCTGTCTGAAATCAGTGTGATGAGGTACGTTTGTGAAGTCACTGCTTGATAGGCAGAGGTGGAAAGTAGCGAACTGCATTTACTCGCGTTACTGTAATTGAGTAGCTTTTTTGTGTACTTCTACTTTTTAAAGTATTTTTTAAAATCTGTAATTTTACTTAAGTATATTTTGTTTGAAGTATTGTACTTCGCTACATTTTAAAACACATTAATTACGGAGTAAAAAAAATAGCTCTCTGGAAACTACACTGTAAAAAAATCCTAATTTTATGGAAAATAACATTTTTTTTACAGTATTTTTCTGTAATTTTAAATGGTTTAAAACTACGTAAAATTACGAACAATATCTGTAAATGAACAACTTGACCATTATTTTAATAATTATACCATTAATGACAAATTACAGTAATTCTCATTTTTTAATACGGGAAAATTACATTATTTATACAGTATTTTTCTGTTTTCTTAAATTATGTACAAATTTACGTAAAATTACAAACAATCTGTAATTAAATAATGTAGCTCATTATATTAAAGGTTTATGTCCATACTAACAATTTAATGTTCTTTTTTTGTAATTTTAAAGTAAATCTTATTCGTTTTATATTTAGTTGTATTTTTACATTCAAACTGTAATTTTATAATAAATAGAAATAGAATATATAGAATAGAAAATCATCTTAAAATCCACAAATCATGTAATCGTGCAACAAAAAAATGTATTGCATTAATAGTGTTTTATTTTTATAAAGAAATAAAAATCAAGCAATAAAGAGTGAGCGTATAAAGTATTCAGCCAATAAGAGAAACGCACCAGACAGACGCGTGTAATCACAAGAATGTGGAAGCAGTACCACAGTAGTCCAAATGACCACACGTTGCAGTCGCAGTCCTCTCTGGCGGAATATAATGGTTTAGTTTGAGGAGCAGGGCATAATTTAAGTTTTTAAACGCTGCAAATACCATCCCGATCCACTCCGTAAACGCGCACGTTTCTCATTCAAAACACGCATCACCGGAAACACGGCATGTCGCAATCTATGACGAAACCGGCGAGAGCCAATGAGCGTTTGATATCGCTGCCGTAAAACTTGTTGAAACTGTTACTATAGCTACAGAGGAAGGAGATATATATCGCTGAATGGTTTGAGTTTGGATCTGTTCCTCACACAAAGCATCACACGTATACCGAAGATCTGAATAACAGTAAATCACACACTCACACACTCATGTTGTGTTTCCATGTTTTACGGGTACTCTCCATAGGCCTAATGGTTTTTATACTGTACAAACTGTATGTGCTATCGTCCTACACCTTATGATTTATAAGCTTGTTTCCTCATGGGGACCTATCCTTGTGGGGACATTTGATCCCCATTGTGATAAATACCAGGTACTCACACACACACTCTCACACTCGCGCACACACACACACACACACACACACACACAACACACGCTCTCTCTCTCACACACGCTCTCTCTCTCACGCTCTCTCTCTCACACACGCTCTCTCTCTCACACACACTCTCTCACACACACTCTCTCTCT